ACAAATAGAACCATATTTGCCTCAGAAAAAAGCATCGATATAAACCTTGAAAGATTTAAATATGGGTATCTGTACAGAGGCAAAAGCAAAATTTTTGTTTTGCATATCTTCCGCTGTATCACATTCGCATGAACATAGCAATGCACATTAGGTCAAATGATTCATTTTGCTGTGCGAAAAGCCAATTTCGTAAAGGCAGTTTTAAATTATTTTTTGTTGCCATTCTGTAGGGAATACCATGATACAAAAAACAAGGTAGTTCCATTGAAATTTCATGCTACCATACACAATATCTAAAATCCTTCAAATTTTCTTATTAATTTTTTGTTGATCTAAAAATCTTTGTTCTTGAGCATAGTATTTTATTCCTGTTTCACGTGAAAAAGCTTTTAAATTTTATACAAAACTTCTTTCTGTGAAATAAGTGTGAAATTCCACAACATTTCCTCAGCAAAGTAGTATTCTGTTCACGCTGTGAAAAAGCCCGCAACATTTTTGCAACATGAAGCTAGCAACACAATTTTCATGACATTTTTAAATAGATACACATGTACATTTTAAATTGTGTGAAAGCTGACAGTTTATAGAACTCAGTAGCGGCGATAACAAAGGGGGGCTAAGTGGTTAAACCTTACCCGATCGTAAAACTTGCGATAATCATGTTACTTTCCAGAAGGTGTCGCGCCCGTTTTTCTGTATATATTTCCATTGGAAAAATGCCTCATCTCAGTATTCTAGGTAAATGCTTCCAGAGGTATCTATGCGTCACCTGAATTTTAGTTTATATGGCTTATACCGCTAGCTCTCGTAGCTGGCTACGAGATCGTTGTCATATACCCCCATGTTTCATAGGTTTGGGATTGATTTCATTTACCTCTTTTCCAAGTTCTACGGTGGCACGCTGCATTTTCCAATAAACCCATATTTTTCCATGAGCTTGATCTTGACTTCATATACATATATCCATACCAAGTTCCAGGACTCTACCATAAATTGTATGGGAGGTTCCACATCCCCTTTAGATATCGGTTTTGTTTTAGCCTATAACCATTCTTGGAAAATTTGTTTCCGAAATTTCAAAAAAAATCGGTGCAGCCGGTATGGGCATTGTGACTACTCAAGCGAAATGAACTAATGATTGCAAAAAATGAAATCAAACGTCGTAGTTGACCAAAAAAGAATATTAGAATTTTATTTTTAATATTTTTATTGAGCTTTGTACCACGATTGTTTATTAGGAAAAATAGAAAAAGCAACAAAGCGGTAGAAGTTATAGCACTATTTCGGAGATCACCACATCTCCTCATCAGACTTCTTTTTTCTAGAGTTCAGCAGGGATCGAACCTGCGAATTCGATGTTCAAAGTCAGAAGCGTTAACCACTGAGCTATGAACATCCCGTAAACTCTTGTTGCTAATTATTTTTCCTTATTCAACCAACTACTATCAAGTGCAGCTGATTTGCCGCTATTTAAACTCGACAGCGTGGTTGTTGTTGTCAATTCTATACATCCATTTGCTTATTTGCTTTTTTGTATAGTTTCAGGCAGGCTCTTCCTAAATTATGTATTTGTCAATGTTATTGTGGCTTCTTAACATTTTATTTTTAATATTTTTATTGAGCTTTGTACCACGATTGTTTATTAGGAAAAATTGAAAAAGCAACAAAGTCTAAGCGGTAGAAGTTATAGCACTATTTCGGAGATCACCACATCTCCTCAACAGACTTCTTTTTTCTAGAGTTCAGCAGGGATCGAACCTGCGAATTCGATGTTCAAAGGAAAATTTTCACGGCTCATGAGTCCCAAAGTAAATTCCATTTACTGTTAAATGGACAAAGACAATATGTATTAAATAACCCATGGAATTGTGTAATTGTAGTGTTTGAATTATATCAGAATCATCGTATCCGATATAGAAAACTACATTGTGAAATAATGAGATGACATGGGGACACTAAAACAATTTTAAAATATGTTCACTAAAATTGTATTAATATTAATATAATGATTTGGCAAGTTGTTATCGAATTTAATGTAAAATTTAAACGTTTTTAAGATAAGATATTCGTTTTTTTAAGGTAAATATTAATACAACTGTTTTATTTATAATCCCAAATTTAGGTTATAAAATCTCCCTCACCAAAAAACTTACAATTGGGTAACGCCGCCTCGAATTTTTCACAATTGAGCAATTGTCAAAAATCTGCTTTTTAATCAAAAAGTTGTTTATTGAAACTACCTTCTTTTTTGTATCATGGGGAATACTACAAAATAATAGAAACTTCACTTAGTTTTTGTTAAATAAAAAACACCGTTATACAGCAATAAACCAAACTTTCACTTTCAAAACATTTTTGGGTAGGTTCAGAAGGCGCAGCAGTTGAGCGCAACCGTTGCTAAAAAAATCAGTGATCGTAATGCGTCTTCTGAACGGCTTGATACATTAGCTGTCAAATTCAAAACACACAACGGCTGCGTTTCTTTATACATTCCGGATAATCCCATTTCACAGCCAGAATAAACAGAATGCGATTGAAATATACGTTAACATACCATCAGGAACGTTCTAAAGAATAAGTAAACAAAAAAGTTTATTCCAAACATTCAGAATGAATAAAGAAATGCCGCCAACATGTTGTCTCAAATGATCAGAAAAATATTACGATCATTTAACACGCAATCGTTCAGTTGATCAGAAGTATAAAACAACACGTTCAGATGGTGCAATCGCAACAGTACTGAGCTGTTGCGCCTTCTGAACGTGCCCATTGATACGTTGTTTGCGCAACCGCTCTATTTTGTAAATTTCAAATGCATTTTTTTTTTTTTGTAAAATTCGAAAAACTAAAGGAAAATTGTGTGTAAGTGAGAAACTATGTCCCAATTTAAAAAAGTGACTTTTTATCATTTTTTGCAAAAAATGACTTATTTGCATAACCTCAAAAATTTTCTGATTTATTTCTATTTATGATTTTATGTAAGCTTTTACAATTAAGTTAACTTTCGGCAAACAAGATGGAATCGGAAATGGATAAATTAAGATGCAATGAGTTGAATTTATTTACTTAGCTCGCCGTTTTTAGCCGTTTCCAAGAAAAACGTTTTTTGCTGGGCTATCATGCTATCACAAAAGGCAAGTTGTTTGAAGTTTGGCTGATTGGATGTTCGAGAAAAGGAAAGCCGTTTTCGGTTGCCAACCATGTTGAAAAAAATTTAGTGCTGCTGATATTTGCGAAAGTTCCATGAAACTCCTAGAAGAAAAAACGCGTATTTTTTGCAATTATTTATCAAATAAATATGAAAATTATGGGAAACAATTTGGAAAGGATGCTAAAATATTTAAATCTTAAAACATAGCGTTTCTTGCTGATGAAGTTCTTTTCGAAATCAAAAAGCCAACTGTGTCGACTATCAGCCGGATTTTAGCTTTTGCTATCGCTAAAGTGCTAAAATAGGATAGGTAACATTTTTCCGAATCCATCCGTTTTAATGGTGATAAATAGTGAAAATGGAAGTATGTGATAGCAAAAAATATAGCAGCCTCAATTTGGATTACATTGCATCTCCTGTAGCGTAGCCGTGGCTATGTTACAAATACACTAGCGCCAATTCGCAAAGACCATTGATGAGCAGCCTTCGCAAAAAGGCAAATTCTTGAGAGAATTTACGGACTGAAATTTCGAAATTTTTTACTCAAAGTGAATAGCGCTTAGAACATTCTTTTAACAAATTAGTTTCATAAACATTCGTATTCTATTCAGGAAGTTATCAGCGATTTTTGGTAAATGTGTCACACAGCAGCATTTGTATTCTGAATATAAATAATATTTGGGAATACTGAAACCTCAAGTGTTTTATGAAGACTAACTGGTTGGGTATGGTAAGAAAATAACATATGCCAAAACCAAGCTAATTGGATAATGTTTTTGAGTACTACCTAAACACATATACATACTCATCATTTGAACATACAAAAAAGCAGAAAAGTCCGTTTTATGAAAGCCAAGTCATGTTTAACATTTTATTTACTACCAAATCATTTTATGACTTCTTAAACTCCAAGCGAAATGTACGTGGGTTTCCTTCCGCCATGAAGTATCAAAATACCGTCTCTAGTGATAATCAAACAATTTCTAACATGTTCGCTCAGTTTTTTAAATCCAATTAT